ATTTCTCATATTTGAAGGTTTGAACAAGGTCCTTTTACCATGGTAGCTTCATGCATGTAGAGTTGTGTAGGAGGAGTACACTTCTTCTTTTAAGGGGTAAAACTTAAATTCACAGATTGTATCTTAGGGGCCTAGCATTATTGCGTATAGTGTCAACAACTTTTTTCCTTTTCTTTTCGTTTCTTTTCTTCTAGATGCCCTCTTCATGGATAAGTAAAGATAATTCAGCAACATACAGAATATAAGAGGGTGCTACAACTAGTTTCATATGTACAGTTAATAATCTTTTTATTTATTTGAAGAGATGACTAACGGTGAAACAGTGAAATGATACTTTTATCTTATCACAGACCAACATCGCACTTTCATGGAAACCAGCATCTGCATCAAGCAAACCAGCAGTTAATGGGGCTGAAAAACGACACACACCAATTACTTTTGATTCCACAAGTCCAAAGAGCATGAAGGGAGAACGGCAGATATATGCCCCACCCAGAGACAAGTACAGCCAGAGGGCAGGGCAGTACTGTAAGTGTTGTTTATAAAATAATCTTGAGAAGATATTGGAGTTAGCTTTGGTTGAGATGTTACATCATATTCCTGTGGTTTTCTTGCTAGTGACTTAATTCCCGTATTCATTCACTTTCACAGCTGGTGGCACTTTCCGTGGACGAGGCAGAGGACGAGGGAGAGGATTCGGATATAGCTCAAGCCGTGGCATGCCCTATAGAGGTGGTTTCCGAGGAAGGAGAGGAAACTTTAGGGGCTACTAATCTGAAAATAAATAAATAAATAAGACTAAGAAATAGAAGACAAAAAAAAATTTGGAGAGAAATTATGGTACAGTGAATTTTGTCATCTGACCAATAATGATTCGGAAATTTGCAAACACAGAATTTTATATTCTACATTAAACTTGTTGGGATTTTGATTTCTGAATTCAGTGTTTGCGGACTTTTGAGGCTTGTTTTGTGGATAAAGCTTCAGGTTTATATATATGTTCTTGGATGAAAATGTTTGCTGAAGACATGATCTTCAGATATTTATATGCAACCTTCTTGTAATTTTATTTACAGTGAGTAAATGTTATATTTTCATTTTATATTTATGCTTTTTAATGGAATTCAGAAAAATTCTTGGAAGTGATCATTAATTCGTTATAACAGGAGAATAGTTAACACTTTAAATGACTTTCAGTTTGCTTTAATACTGTAGACATCATTTATATCTAGTTGAGCTATGATTTTATGTTTGCCCTGAGTAATCATATGTATATAAGTATTTTATAGAGAACATAATGCAGAAGACATGGATAGGAGTCAGAAAACTGTGGTTTGAATTTACATTGTTGAAAATTTAAAGATGTGGAATCTGTTAACCACATATACATCAACAGCCTTACAATTATTTACCAAAGAATAGTTTCATTTTGGCCAAGTCTTAAATGAAGGTAAATTTTGTTATTGTTTTGTGTAAAATTGTGTGTACATTTAGGTGTGCTTTTCCTCTTCAATACCTAGGGAAGATATTTTTTGTCTTAGCTATCCTGTCAGATGCCAAGAAGTTATTGGCAACAATGTCTACACTCCTGTAATAGTCCCTTTGAAGTTTGTCAAGCAAATAGTAGAGTGATGAGCTGTCCCCAAAAATTAAAATCTGATCATGTATTCGGAACCTCTCCCTGTATATTGTTAGAGCACGTGGCCCAAATGTATTAGTGATTTATGCGAAACAGAAGATGTACTCCTGTTACACTAGATGAGCCTTCACTCTTCAAGGAATCGTCTTAAGCCCCTCTGCTGTTATGAGGTGGTTAACATGACAGCAGGATTCAGCTGCCTCTTGGAAGTGTCTGCAACATTCGTCTAAGGATCCAGTTAAGAATTTGAGTTTGTGTATGATAGGGAGGACAAAAAAAAAAAAAAAAAAATCATATCCCAGTCTCAATATTACTATAGGTTTACAGGATTGTATTCAAGCAGAACAGGCGTCCAGTTGTTGGCTGCTGTTGCCTGTTTTAAAAGTAATGTGTAGTTTGAAAACTAATGGTAATGGTTTGAGACTTGCCTGACAGTTTTGTTTTGTTTCAGGAAAGATTGTAGTGATGTCCAGTTGAACCTGTTCCACAATGCTTGCTTTAGGTACACTAGAGAAGAAACACAGGTAACAGCATTAACTCTCTCTCTCTCTCTCTCTCTCTCTCTCTCTCTCTCTCTCTCTCTCTCTCTCTCTCTCTCTCTCTCTCTCTCTCTCTCTCTCTCTCTCTTTCTCTCTTTCTCTCTTTCTCTCTCTCCCCCCCTTTGTCTGTGTCTCTCTCTCTGTTCCTCTCTCTCTTTCTCTTTCTCTCTCTTTTTTCCTCTCTCTCTCTCTCTGTTTTTTTTTCTCTTTTTTTCTCTTTTTTTTATCTCTCTTTTTTCTCTCTCGCTTTCTATCTATCTATCTATCTCTATCTGTCTGTCTATCTATCTAGAATGGATTTATTGTTCCATTTCTCATGATT